GTCACAGAGGCGGGGAAGGTGTCCTGTGAGCTGCAGCAGCTGGGTCGGGACGGAGCTTGACAGGTCCCAGCATTCGTGGGGAGAGCGAGGCTCAGGTTGGCCATTCATCCACCTAGAGTGAGGGGGCTTGGTCTCCCAAGGAGAGGATCCCAACAGACCTGTCCCTGGACCTTGAGTTCAGCCTGTTGGGACGGGAGACCAGGAAAAGCTCGGCAGCACCAGAGTGGGATTAAATCAGAGTGGGTTCAGCCAGAATCCAGGGAGTTTCTGGAAGGAAGGGGCGAAACATAGAGGCAAACACAGAGACAGTTCTTTTCCGACCACATGTGCACACTCCCTACTCGTAAAACACAAGGCACTGGGCTTGGTGTAGCCTGTCGTGGGTACTTGGCGAGCACACTTTACCTCCCTTTTTGCTCTATGACCTGTTGATTCACACAGAGAGGCCTGAGTCACTTTTCAATCTACGTTTCCTTTTTAGAACCACCACCACCTAAGATCCCCAAAATTGAGACCACTCACCCTCCATTGCCTCCGGCCCACCCACCTCCAGGTAAGTGTCAGCTGGAAGCAGCTCGTGAGTGCCAGCTTTTCACCAGGCTTTCTCGAAGGGCAGACTTGAGAAGGCCTGGGGAAAGGTTGTAGAGGGGAGACTTGCCAAAATTTAAAAAGAAGATAATGACCAAGGATCTTTCAAAGATGATTGTTTTCACAAAGCAAATCTCTTGAGGGTGTCTCAGATTTTTAGTGTATCTGGATATTCTCTGACCGCTCACGTGCGGAGCTGCTGGACTCCGCAGGATAAACTTGGGAGCAGTTTTAGGAAAGCAAAGCCCTGCCGATGTATGAACATGGACCCGGCGGGCTTGCCGTGGCTCTGAGACCCCCGTCCCTCACACATCTGCCTCCTGGTGGCAGGATAGCGTCTCCGTGCGTTTTAAAGACAAGCAGTAGCTCAGAGTCAAGCAGAGAATAAATTGAAGCGTGGCAAGTTGTCGACAGGCACACGATGAGCCGGGAAGTTTCCGTAGCCTAACCTAAAACGAGAAGTGTTGTAGGGAATATAGCGTCTCTCCCCGGGGCAGCGATCCGGAAGACGAAGCAGGAGACTAGGGTGGGTGGAAGTTGCGCGTGTAAGCCGAAGGGTGCTGAGCGCTCCATGGCGGGGTCCGTGCACCCACTGGGCTACGCTGACCTCTGGCCAGTGCCTGCGGCTCCCCTGTGGGCCCCTAGCGCCCGCGTGTCTGGGGTAGGGGTACTGGTGATGGCATTTGTTTCTATGTGCAGTCAGTCCCCACACTTCATAAGCTTTGGGAGAACTGGGGCACCATTTTTCAGTCCCCGGTCCGGGATGAAGCTTGCGTAAAAAGATACCTGCCGTGGATCCTTCAGTGTGTATGCTACGTCTCTACCAGCGAAGAGCCTCCCTCCTGTGCTGGGGGTGCAGCTGAGGACAGGGGTGGTTGCTCCGGGCAGGGAGAGAGCCTGCTCTGCTGCTGGAAGGGAGGGGTGGGCCGGGCCGGGCTGCAGGTGCTCACTCCAGCAAGGTCCTGTCCCTACTCCATAGGGGCCTGTGGTGGATGGGAGGCCGATGGGAGGAGGGCCCAGAGGAGGGGCAGGGGCGGGGAGAGCGGCTAGAACCACAGTTGCTGTGAGGCTTGGGAGGTGGCAAGAGACGCGTAGGTCACCAGATGTGTCAGAGGGCAGCTGGTGGCGATGGGTGTCACAGCAAGGATGAAGAGCAGCGCAGGTGCCTGGAGAGACTGCATGTCCCAGCTGCGGTCACAGGGGACAGGCGGAGGCACTGGGGACCGTGGGGGAGGGGGGCACGGGGTGGGGGGAGGGACTCAGCAGAGTTGTTACAGGAAGTGAGATCTCAGAGCTGGACGAGCATGTTCGTGGGAGGCCATGGCTGCCTGTTCAGGGTGGTTGGCACTTTGGTCCACAGGCCTCGGGTTCATGCTCTTTGTCTCCAGGTTGTGACAACTTCCTGGACCCTGGAGGGCCGTGGCCCCGCCCTGGAGCCCAAGCAGGTTTCTCCACAGGCATGTCTGGCAGGTGTGCTGCTTGGCTCAGGCCCAGCTCCAGGGACACGGCTCCTGCCAAAGATGTCCCGGCCGCACAGAAGTTGTGCTCTCGCTTACTTGGCGAGAGCAGTGAGGGGACCACAGCCGCCGCGGCACCCCCTGCACACACTGCACGTCTGTGTCTGCACAGTCAGGGCTGGGGGAGCTCCAGGGAGCACCTGAGGCCCAGTGCCGGGAGACTGGAAGCCCCCTTCACGGCCTTCGCTTTTTTGTGTTCTTTGGATCCAGAGATCCTGGCTCCTGTGATTTGCCCTTGACTTCTGGGCTGCCTTAGGAAAAGACACACTTTCTCAGTGATTGGCCTCCCCTGGTGGGGTGTCTGGTGTTCTCTTGTAGGTGTGTGACCAGGAGTGTGGGGGGCGGAGCGTGGCAGGTGAATCGTGTGGGACAAGACCATGGGCAAAGGGAGTGGAGGGCTGCACCACCGGAGGGTGCTTTCAGAGAGGACACGGTGGGGTCCCATCTTGCACCCTTCTGTAAACTAAAAGTAGAATTGTTACTTTGGTGGCTACACTGGGAATGTCAGAGACTTGTTCATTATTTTTTTAAATGATCCTTTGTTCATTTGACCAACTATCGGGCTTTGTGCTCGATGCCAGTGCTGCAGACAGGAAGGTAACAGGGCGCCAGCCTCGCGGCCTCTGGAGGCGGAGACAGGCAGGAAGAAGGGCCCCGCTCCATCTGTACTAGCAAGAGGGGCATGCAGGGCGGGGGCACACGGGGCTCCATGTGCCGCATGCTTCGCCTTGGCTGATACCAGGGGGAGGGGGGGATCCTTTGTGACAGGTACGGCACTAGCTGTTGGCATCGGGCGCCGGCCGCCACAGTGACAGCTACTCCCTGTTCCTCTGGAAAGATGGCCCTGGGGAAAGGGCAGCAGGCCCTCCGGCGCTGTACCGGGGCCAAGAGGCGGGGGTCACGGTGGCCGTGAGAACCGCTGGGTGAGACCCTCCCGGGCTCGGGCCCTCCCCACGCTGAGGAAGGCCGGATGCGTCCCTGCACAGGCAGGCCTGGGAGCCCGGGGCCGGGCAGTGACTGGTCTCTCCCCTGCAGACCGGAAGCCCCCCATCTCGGCTCCCTTAGGCGAGGCTGAGCCGCCAGGCCCTGTGGACACCAGTGACCTCCCCAAAGTGCAGATTCCTCCTCCCACCCACCCGGCCCCCGTGCACCAGCCACCACCGCTGCCACACCGGCCGCCGCCGCCGCCGCCCTCCAGCTACATAACCGGGATGTCGACCACCAGCTCCTACATGTCCGGGGAGGGCTACCAGAGCCTGCAGTCCATGATGAAGACCGAGGGCCCCTCCTACGGTGCCCTGCCCCCAGCCTACGGCCCGCCCGCGCACCTGCCCTACCACCCGCACGTCTACCCCCCCAACCCGCCCCCTCCGCCTGTGCCCCCTCCCCCGACCTCCTTCCCCCCACCTGCCATTCCTCCCCCCACTCCCGGCTACCCCCCTCCTCCCCCCGCCTACAACCCCAACTTCCCACCCCCACCCCCACGCCTGCCCCCCACCCACGCGGTCCCCCCTCACCCTCCTCCAGGCCTGGGCCTGCCACCGGCTAGCTACCCACCTCCGGCCGTCCCCCCTGGAGGGCAGCCCCCCGTGCCCCCGCCCATCCCCCCACCCGGCATGCCTCCCGTTGGGGGACTGGGGCGGGCGACCTGGATGAGATAACGCGATGCCTTTTTTTCCTCCTTTGTTTTTTTAAGAAAAGTTTTTCTAATCAACTTGAGTAGTTTAAGTGGGTAAGCAGCAGGGTACCTTATCTAATGCTAGACAGTTGCAGCATGGGAAGAAACGGACCGGGCCCACGAGGTAAAACCGGGCTGGTCCTCACGTCTGGAGAATGGGGACAGCGGCTTTGAGAGTAGCCCGGGCAGCGCCGGCCTCCATCTGACTGTGCGCTGCGTGGTCAGCTGGTGTCGTCTGAGCGTCCCGCACTGGGTCACGTGTACTAGTGAAAACGTTAACCAGCCACATTGGCTCAATAAATAGCTTCAGTGAGGAGTGAAGTTCCTTCTAGAAATCAGTGCCTACTTTTCCTGGAAAACTCGATTTTACATAGTCCACTTCCACCCGAAGTCAAGCTGTTGTCATCGCTTTCATTCCGTGATGTCCTCTCCCAGCACCCAGTAGGTCAGATGAACCACTGTTTTGATTTAGAGATACTTACATCCTTTGTATTAAACGTATTTTGAAAGGGTTGCCTTGTTGGATGGCTTTTTTCTTTTTCCTCCAGAGAGAAGGGGAGAAATGTACTTGGAAAGTAACGTATGTTTACATCAATTTGCAAATTCCTGTACATAGAGATATATTTTTTAAGTGCGAATGTAACAACATACTGTGAATTCCATCTTGGTTACAGACGTGATTCCTTCAGTTATCCAAATAAAACCGTTCTGAAACTACTCTTTTGTTTCTCGCGCACAGAAGGTGAGGCTCCAGGCCTTGCGCAGCCCCAGACCGGGAAGTCCAGACCCGCCCTTCTCATGGCCCCGGGGGGCCGAGGGGCAGGCAGCCGAGAAGCATTGGCTGGGAAAGGCCTGGCGCTGGCTGGTCTCCCCAAGCCCCCAGACCTGACCCTGCCGTCTCCCAGGGCAGCACCCCTGTGGGTCTGTCCTTCGGGGCGAGCCCCCACCCCCACCCCGTGCCCACATTGGCTTTCCTCGGAGGACCCCCGTGAGTGCTGAACCGGCACGGGACTGTCAGGTGCAGCTGCACAGGGCGCAGGCACCCAGGTCACACCAGGGCTGGGTATGAAACTCCTCCCACCCGGGGCCTCTAACCGGACAGAGGCCATCGGAGTGGCCGTCAGTGCTCTCCAGCACCCGGGGTGCTCCCCCGGGCCACAGCCCTCCACTCAGGGACCCCCACCACCACACCCGAAACAAACACTGCACACCCAGCAGAGGCTTGCAAAGAGCCTTTATTTATCTAGCGCAAAGTAGACACTATCACAATCTTCTGTTACTCCTTTTACTAAAATAGTTCAAATCAATGTTTTTACCACACTATCAAAAGTTCTATTTCTTTTTCTCTCCCCAAATCAAAGTGGTTCAGTGGAAGGTAGAAACGGGCGCAGGGGTCTCTAGCTCCCAGCTCTGCCCGGAGCCAGGCCGGGGGCTGGCCCAGTTTCCCACGGCGGTCACATACTGCAGAAAACAGAGCATGGCTGACGGCCCAGGGGCAGGAACCAGACGTTCCAGCCCGATTCCAGAAAGCAGCACAAATCCTTCCCCCAACGGTATGAAAAATATACACCTCTACCGCTCTGCAGTCATGCATTTAGCTTGTTTCTTTAAAAAAAAAAAAAAATCAGTAGTATGTATTTTGTTTCCTCTCAAGTTTTCAAGAAAAAGAAAATGAAAGGTCACTTTTTTCTCTTTCAACACTGATGTGTAGCTAATAACTTGTGGATAAAAATGTGCCACCCTAAAAAGTGTGCTCAGCAGATTCTGACCCCAGGAGGGGTGAGGCCACCTGGGGCGAGGCTGGAAGGATGACCTCCATCACAGTGGGAACCGAAGCCACAGGAAGGACAGATGTCACACTGGGCTTCAAGATGTAGACGCAGAGTATTTGAAACGTAAAGGGACCTTTATGAAAGGCCACTCAAGCTCGGCAGCACCCCTGACCCTACCACCAGCTCCTGCAGCTAAGGCTCCAGAGGGCAGGAGGGGCCCCCCTCGTGCCCCGACACGCCCCGGGGTTGGTGGCAGGGCTGGGACCCGTGCTGACCCTCCCCAGCCCGTGGGTGCGCGCTGCCCCCGCCCGCCGCCTGGGGTGGGGGCTCAGGCGCAGCTGCTGCTGGCTGTTAGCTCATCACATTTGGGGACCGGGAGAGCCATCCCCGCTCACCGCCGGCCCAGGCTCGTGAGCAGCGGTGGGAAGATGCCGTCACCCAGCTTCCCCTGCCTGCGTGGCACATAGGAGCCCCCCCCCCCCAATGGAAACACTCTGCCCACCCCGGCAGCACCCCGGGCGGAGGTGCCTCTTCCCTGGGCCGGTCTGCGCATGCAGCTCCGGGAGCCCTTACTTATTGCTTATTTTCAGTGGTGGCCAAGCCAACCTGATCCAAACACAGAAAATGGGCTCCCGGCTGTAGCTTCCCCCCAAAATGGACCCAGCCCTCTGCCCCCAGCTCATGGCCCACAGGGGCAGGAACTGCCCCGTACCATGACCGAGGACATACCCCCTCAGCCCCAAGCGCATGGCCTCCGGGGACAGGCCAGCCCCCTGTAACACCCAGGGCAAGAGGAGCACGCGTGCCGCCATCCCCAGCACCCGCTGAGCACTCCCTGGGCGCAGTGAGGGCCGCGAGCCTTTCCCCTGAGAGTGTACGACCCAAGGGCGCCGATGGCCAGCAGGCAGCGGGAACCGCACAGAGTCCCTGCTGCGGGGAGGACCAGGGCGGCCTCCACCATCCCTTGGCCTGGTCCCCACCCCTCAGGTGGGCCCGGACGAGGCCCGCCTGCCGCAGAGATGCCCCCTGGGCTCCGAGTGGGCAGCACGTGTCACTGAGCAGCACCGCAGAGTAAAGGCAGGGTGAGGGGCGCACAGCTGGGTGCCCGGGGGCACCGGGGCCCAGGCCGATGGCATCCACAGTGGCCTGCCCCACCTCCCAGCATCAGGTCTCGTCTGGAACGTGCCACAGATCACTCACCCTCTGGGCCTCACCTTTCTCACCGACTTCCACGTTTCTATGTCGCACTCTACAGTTTGTACATGGTCATTTACACTGAAGCTCTCGTTTGATCTGGAGCCCTGCACGGAGGGGCCTGATGCTGTCCCTTCTCCAGCAGAGGACACTGAGGCTCAGAGAGGGGAGGGGACAGCACCCGTGAGGACGCAGCAAGGCGGAACTCGGCTGGGCCCCCGGCTCTGTCCAGCCCAGCCAGCAGTGGCCCTGCGGCAGGCGGAGCCCATGGGCTCGCAGGCCGTGACTGAGGGCACAGGCTGAATAAAGCTGGTGACCTCGGGTGGTGAGCACGGCCGGAAGAACCTGAGACCTCGTTTTCCCACCAGGGGCCCAGAGAAGCCGAGTGACTTGCTGAAGGTCACACAGCAAATTAAAGCCAGAGCCGGGTCAGGCTCCTTCCTTCTAAAGAGGGCGGGACTCTCCCCTCGGCAGCCCACACAGCTCTGTCGACCATGACCCTGGCTGGGGGCCAGGCTCTGGGGGACACCAGAGGCCCAGCTTGGCCCAGCACTGCCCATCTGGAGAGAGAGAGGGGGGCTCCTCCGGGGACTCCACACAGCCTCCCACCTCCCAGGCCCATCATGTGAACCACAGGAACGGAGATGCCTCAGGCACTGGGCAGGAGGGACCCAAAAAGATAGGACACAACCTGGCGCAGGGTTGGGGGACACTGTGTGTCTGGGGCTGGGGGCCTGAACCCTGACAGCAGCTTGCATCGGGGGCTGCATGTGGGGAGTGCCTGAGCAAGGGTCTCGGGTCCCTCCAGCCACAGACACGGAGCTTCCTTGTCCGGGACTCAGGACTCGGTGCTCTGCGAGCTGCCGTTCAGGCCACAGCAGACGGGTGGGACGTGGCGCCCCCTGCGTTAGGTCCAGCCACCAGTAGCCTCCGTCCAGCGCGGGTGGAAGGCTTGACAAGGCACCCCTCCGCCAAGGCTGGCCACAGCGGGGGCGTGGAGGGGGGGGACAGTCCTTCAGCCCCTCAGCAGTGGAGCCCCGGAGCAGGGACGAGGCTGTCTGGGCCGTTCTGCCGCACGGAATGGCCAGCAGCCTCTCATCTTCCTGGTTTGCTGGTGTGCGAGGAGGGAGACGGGGGCCGGGCCATCAGGGTGCAGGGCCCGCAGCAGCTGGGTCACGGCGCACAGCGTCCTATGTACAAGTCACCGCAGGAAAAGAAGACAGTGGCCTGCGACTCTGCGGGGCCAGTCCACATCCACGGGGGAGCAGCCCTACAAAGGTCCCTTGAACTGGTTCCCAGACAGGTGTTGCCGGATGGAGGGCTTGGAGCTGGCCGCGTCCCCCAGCTTCCTCCAGACCACCTGTGGGCAGGGGCAAGCTGTGAGCGGAGAGCCCAGCCCAGCCCGCCCACCAGCCTGTACACACAGACCACCTCCCTGCCCCTCCAAACCACCACGTCCCCAGAGCTATGGGGCCACGTGGGGAAACTGAGGCTGCATGAGGCCCAGAGACACTGAGTCCAGATCTTTGCACACCCACCATTACAGCCATGCTTGCCATCCTGAGCAGCTCACTGATGGGGGTGGAGGGCTGCCCTGGCCTCCAAGCCGTCCAGGGGACCCCAAAGACACAGGAGGCAGCATGGGAGGGGTGGGGTCCCGTGAGGCCCAGCTCAGCCCCCGCCGGGTCCTGTAAGGGTCCGGGGATGACACACCCTGGCCAAGTGGGTCACCGGTGAGGTTTCACTTCCTGGGCAGCCACAGAAACAGCCCAGCTTCCAGAAACCAACGCAGCCCTAGCCGTGGAGGGCCCCAGAGCAGAGGGTCCCGCCTACACCTCCGGTCTGAACACCTGTGGCCCACAGCCGCCAGGGCCACGAGACGCCTGCGGACTGGGGCCGGGGGCCAAGGGATGGGACGTGGGGTGAACACGACCCGTCCTAGCGGGCTGGGAGGGGGATGGGCAGACCCCAGGGGTCAGGGCCCCCGTTCTCGGGAGAAGTGGGTTAGGCAGCGGGGTGAGGACAGGCCCGGGCTCCCCAGCCCTCCCCCTCCCCAGCCGCATCCCCGGGAAAGGGCCTCACGTTGCACATCTCGCGGACGATGGCCTTCTCCTTCTCGCTCAGGTCATCCTCGCAGCTGTCCTGGAGCCGCCGGTCCAGGTTCTCGTGCACCTCCAGGACCTGCGGGGACAGGCCCCGGGGGCGGGGGTGAAGTGGGGAGAGACTGCAGGGGCGGGTCCTCATCCCTCCCCTTGGTGACACGGCCTGAGGGAAGCCACCCCCCCCATCACAGGTGGAGGGGGCCAGGCTGGGGACGGGTCACCGAAGTGGGGGGGACAGTCTGGGTGGGACCACCCTGAGGCAGCGGCCTCGCGCCAAGCCAGGGTGCCTGGCTTCTGATTAGAGCGACAAGGGCAGCACCTGCTTGCACACATGGGGGAGGGGCGTGTCCACGCGCGCTGCAGCCGTGGCAGGTGAGGTCCGGGTGCACGAACTCCCCCAGGGGCAGGGAGAGCAGAGAAACAGCTGCGCCTGGAGGCAAGGCTGGGCCTGGGGTGCTGGGGCTTTAGTCCTACCCCAGCCCTGCCCCCAACAGTTGGACTTCGGGGGAGTGCCAGCTCGGCCCCTACCGCACCCAGGCCTCAGTTTCCCCAGCTGCAGAGATGACAGGGGACACGCTTGCTCTGGCCAACTGACACCTCCATTCCCATGGTGCTCTGGGCGGTCATGGCCATACCGACCGCTCCCCCCCAGCCCAACCCCCGCATGAAGAGATGAAAGCCCCCGCCCTGCTGCTCAGATGCCCACAGACTCAAACGGAGGTGGAAGGTCCCAGGTCCTGCACCGCGCCAGGGGTCTGGGGGCTCCTGAGGGGGCAGGGCCCTGGCCCTCACCTTCATTGCATGCACGACAGCCTCTGGCTTCTGTCCTGCAGCGCTGTAGCCGGTGGAGGGGGGTGAGGACAGCTCGGGGACCGGGCAGGCTGGGCCCTGTGGGAGGGAATCGCGCATCTCAGCTTGCCCAGAAGGGCTGCCCGCCAGTGGCCATGGCTGTGGCCAGCGGCGGACAGAAGTCCCTGAATCTGTGGGCCTGGCCCGGGCAGGAAGACACAGGGCCTGGCAAGGAGGACAGAGGCCCCCGCCCCGTCCCTCAGGCTCCTCCTCACAGCCCACGGGGAAGGTCTGCTATCCCGGAGGAAGTGAGTCCAGCTCAGAGACGGCAGGGACTGGCAGAGACCCCCTGCAGACCCCAGGGGGCTGCCTCCAAGCTGTCACCCTCTCCCCCAACACCGGTGAGTGGGTTAAACCACTCTTCACCCCTCCCCCCACCCCCAGGGACATTCTTCCAGGCCTGAGCCCAGCCTCCCTGATGGCCCCACAGTCAGCAAACACCTGACATGGCGGCCAGGTGCCCAACTCTCCACCACCTGGTGGCGGGGGTGAAGGGCGGGCGAGGAGGGACCCGGCCTCCTGGGGTCGGACCCGCCTGTGTCACAGGCTCCACGTGTGCCCTGCGTCCCTGGCTTCTTCTCCATGGGGATAATGGTGTGGGCAGGGTGCAGGGCTCGGGCCGCAGGGGGGCCCCAGGCGGAGGACTCAGGATGGTCCCCAGGCCAGGAGACACCAGAAGACACTGGGAGCGATCCTGACGGGAGTCACACAGCCACAGAGAAAACACCAGGGGCCCCGGGCAGGGAGGCCAGGGAGTGGGGTTCCCGGCACAGCCGTCCCTTCTCTGGGCCCTGGTTTCGTTCTCGGTCCCCAAACCCCAGTGACCAGGCAGGCTCGGTGAGCAGGCTCATGGGGCCATCACCCTGGGAGCCCGCCCAGCCAGGCAACACTGTGCGGAGGCTCTCAGGGCCCAGAACTTTCTGCCGTGGGCCAGCCTCTCTGCACTCTCCCCATCTGCCCACCCCACCTGGACCTTCTCCAGGCTCCACACAGAGGCCGGGCCCCACAGCCCTGGGGGCCGGAAAAGCCGGACTTGGGCGAGGCTCTGCTGGCTGTGACCTGAAGCAGGGCCCAGCCCACTCTGCACCTCGGCTTCCTCATGTGGACAACGGAAAGGGTCCCTGTGTCCCAAGGCGTGTGCAGAACCCTGCGATGCTGTGTATGGCCCAGGCTGCCTGGTCTCTGGGGCCCAGGCCAGATCTGTCTTGTGGAAAACCAAAAATCGGAGGCAGGGGCCCCGGGGAGGCAGGTGGAATGCAGAACACAAGCATGAGCGTGGCAGGCTGCGATCCCCCCAGCGGCCAGCAGGGGGCGGTAGCCGCACATGTTGGGCCCTTGGAGACACAGGAACCTCCAGCCTCCTGGCCCATCTGTACCTGGGGCTCCCTGAACAGCCTGCTCTATAAGCAGGGCAGGGGACGATTCCTGCCCCAGGGGGCTGCTTCCTGGAGCAAAGGGAGGAAGGAAGCCACGAAGGCTGCCAGCAAGGGTGCGGATGCTGGTCCTGAAAAGGAAGCCGGTGCTGGACTGTGGCGCCTGCTAAGGAATAAATGCTGCAGGGACTGGTGCTCCGGGAGCACTCCCCCAACACAGCTCTCCCTGCGGGAGGAGGGGCCAGCGCCCTGATTCCTCCCACCTCCTCAGCTCCCACGGAGCAGCCCAGCCCACCAAGTGCTCGCAACCCTCAACCCTCAGGCACTATCTTTCTACATCCCCATTTTACAGATGAGGAGAGTGAGTCTGAGAGAAGGCCGAGGCCAAACAGCCACCGAGCAGTGGAGCTCGAACGGGGTCTGTGGTTCCAGACCCGCGTGCACCCAGGAAAACGGAAGGCACACAAATCTTGGCCGGAAAGTTCACAGCAGCACCGTTCACACCAGGCAGAGCATGGGAACAGCCCTGGTGCCCAGCAGCTGATGGTCACATTAGCAAAATGAGACGCATCCACGCCCCAGAGTCTCCCTCGCTGCCAGAAAGGAACAAGGGGCTGACAGGCTGCATGGCAGCCTCACCACCGGGCGCTACAAGGAAGCAGCCAGTCACAGAGGATCGCGTCCTGAGAGTTTCTGTTGCTAAGAAATGTCCAGAATAGGGGAATCTACAGAGGCACAAGCACATCTGCGGTTGCCAGGGGCCGATGCGGGGGGGGGGGGGGGGGGGGGGGGGGGGGGGGAAAGGGCTGCTAAAGGGCGCAGAGCTTCCCTGTGGGGCAGTGACATGTTCTATTGTGATGATTACACAAATCTGTAAATATGCCAAAAAACCAGGGAACTTGCATGCTCAAAAATAAAGTCAACTGACCAAAAAAAAAAAAAAGGCGGGGGGGGAGGGGGGACCAGTCTCCCTCAGGGACCTGTCAAAAGCCTCAAGATCCTTCTCTGTCATCCGCCAGCCCGAGCGTATGTGCTCCACGGGCAGTGGCTTCGAGTGTGTTCACAGGTTTGTGCAATGGTCCTGACAGAACATTCCATCACCCCAAAAAGAAACCCCATACTCATCAGCAATCCCCACGTCCCCTCTTCCCTGCCCTTGATGACCAGTAATGTGCCTTCGGTCTCCCCAGACCCGTGCACTCTGGACACGGGTGCCCGCAGGGAGTGGTCCTGATGACATCTGCGACCCAGAGCGCCGGCCCCTCCCTCCCCCCTCGGGGCAGCCCCAGCCCAGGACAGCCCTGGAGGATCTACCACAAACCGGTCACAAAGCCTGGGTGGGTATACACCTCGCGTACACCTCAGCCCTGACCCAAGCCCCAGCCAGGCACCCTCCCCCACCCACCAGGGCCGAGGAGGGACAGGTGCACTGCGCCTGGGCCTGGGCCTGGGCAGCCGCTTGCGGGGCCGCCAGACACTGCCCCTCGCTGCCCCCCAACATCACCCCTGCTTGGCCTCCATCTCTAACCCCCTTGTGGGGCCTGCACAAGCCTCTGAGGACCACGAGCCCTGGCCCCTTGCTGGCAGCAGTGGGGGGTGGGGGAGGGGATTGAGGGCCACTCAGGCAGAGCCCCAGCTCTGACCCGTCACTCTCACCTGACCCGGAAGCTGCTGAGGCAGGAGACAAGGGTCCTGGGCCCAAGTCCACTGGCCCAGGCAGGTCGGCGGACGGGCAGAGCCTCACCCCTGCACTGGAACGTGGGGTCCACATGTGGACAGTGGGGCTCCAGGGAAGGGGCACTTACGTTCTGCAGGGAGTCCTTGTAGGAGGGCGGCAGGCTCGCCAGCTGGGACTCCGAGTGGTATGGGGAGAAGCCCTTGCGCAGGGTCCGGAACTCTCCAGAGCCTGCCTGCTGGGGGAGAGGGGGACAGGTTAGAAGGGTCAAGGACTGTGTGCCGTGAGGACATGGCCCTCCCACGCCCATGCTGTGGTCTGCACCCTCCCTCCCCTCTCCCTGCCTCCAGAGGCAGCTGTCACGGGTCACGGGGAGGGTCACGGGTCACAGGGCGGGGGCTTCCTGTTGCTCCCAGGGGATGCTGTATCTACACTGCGTGAACAGGGTAAGTGAGGAAATGAGTGCGTGGCACCCCCACCCTCGACCCTCCTTCCTCTGCTCCAGCCTCCTGCCTGGCCCGGGGAGCACTCTCTCCGGCCCCTGCGGCCCCGCACCCACGGGAAGGCGCTCCCACTCCCCACAGGAGAGCTGTCACTGTGCTCTGCTCAGCGGTCGCCCTCAGCCTCTGCTATGGGACAGGAGCTCCCAAATGCAGGTCCCGTGTCTCACCCTCTGTATCCATGGGAGCCGTGCATGCTCAGGAAGGAGGGATGGAGAGGTGGAGGAGTGAGGGAGTGAGGGAATGAGGGAGTGAGCGAATGAACATATATTTGGCCTTAGGTGATTCTCTCAGGGCAGAGCAAATGCCCCCCCCAGAGGCTGGGGGCTGCGATCCGCAGAGGGAGGGGACCCCGGGGTCACGCTCAATCCAACACAGGCCCTCTGGTCCAGCTGAGCGGAAGCGCCCTCCATCACCAAGAGCCTGGCTGGGGTTTCTGGCCCAGACACCTGTTTCTATTCCAGAGAAACTGAGGGCAGGCTGTTGGGCAGACAGAACAGCAGAATGTCCCATATGTCCATAGGGTGCAGAGGGACCCAAACAGATCCTGGAGGGGAGGAGGCCAGGGCAGGAGCGACACAGCGTGGCACTTACACCTGGGGGGGCCCGCCTCCTGCTCACCGGCGCCCCCTGCTGGTCTGGGAGGGACCCACACGCAGCCTGCTGCCCTCCTGCCAACCGCTGGACACAGACCCCACTTCTCATGGGTCTCCAGCCTCGCCCAACTCCGTGTCCTGCCCTCCCATCCCCATCAGACCCAGGTCACACACCCCCAGGTCCCATGAGCAGTCACCCCCCTGATTACCATCCCCACCCTAGGCACGCTGGCCAGAGCAGAGAGGACTATTCGCATGCCCTCCTGGGCCGGGGGGAGGGGACCTCGGTGTAAACAAAGGTCACCAAGAGGCACGGAGGGAAGAGAAGTGGCGACCAGCCCTCCCCTGGTGGCCCCTGAGGTGCAGCAGGGTGTCACCAGTACCCTTAAAGTGCGGCTGCCACGCTCCTGATTATGGCACCCAGGCAGGTTGACCCTCACTGGCCCAGCCAGGGGTCCGATCTAGCGGAGCCCCTCTGCCACCTGACACCAAAATGACAAAGACCCCTGCCCCCGGCCCAGCACTCCCTCACCACCCCCCAGCAGGGGTGGTGGGGGGGTGCCTCATCGGGGCACCTGTGCTTCCCCGGCTCACCCTCCCTGGGCAGGGGCGTCAACCTTCACTCAAAGGCAAAACCCAACCAACTCTTCCTGGCCAGGTGTCTGGAGCAGTTGCGAACTCTTCTCCAATGGACAGAACGTTCTATGCCCAGTCACACTGAACACCGCACCGGGTGCTGCCAGGCTCTCACCAGGCCCACAGCCACCATCCTGCAGGAACGTGCCCCACCCGCCTGGCCGGGCTGCCGAAAGAGACCAGGGGTGAGGCTCAGCCCAGCTCACACACCCTGACATTTATTTGGCCACACGGCCAGGGATTGGAGCCACCGCTCTCTCCCACTGGTCCATGGGATCAGGACAGCTGGACACGGCCCGTCCACCCCCCCCCCAACACCATCTAGCTCCTCGTCTGGGCTGAGTCTCCCTCCTCCACACCTCCTCTGTTGCTAGACCAAATGGGTTCAGACGGAACTCACGTGGGGTACTGAAAACACAGGTTTGTGTCACCTCCTGCCTCCCCCCAGATCATTTCCTTGGGGGGGCATGTGTGTACAAGGGGGTGGGGGGGAGCTTTTTTAATTAGCACATGCAATCCCCACCCCTGCCTTCAGTGATCATCTATAAATATCTGCGTGTCCACATTATTAGCGATCCACAAAGCTGGCGGAGGGAAAATGCACAATCTCTCATCAGGGGCAATGTGACTAATAATGTATCAGAATGAGGGACCATAACTGCACTGAAATCCAAATTAAAAATCCTGGGATTTGCCTGTTGGTGCCCTGGAAGAATGAAATCCTTACGTTTTCATTGCCGAGGGAATGTGGAGCTGAAGTGGCTTCGTGGGGTGGCTGGGTCTGCTCAGGGTGGTTCAGGAAGGGGGGACAGGATGCCTGACCCACCCACAATCCTAAAAGAGGGTCCCTCAGGACACAGGGAGAAAGGATCTGCCATACAGAGTGGGCAGGACCCCCACATCCTTAAAAGAAACATCAAGTGCAAACATAGATTTGCCCTTTCCGGCCGGGGGGGGGCACCCAGGAGGCCACGGAGGCCCTAAGGCCACTGTTAGGGACATGGGGCCTCTGTCCAGGGCCATCACTGCATCACTGCCCGGCTCCGAGCTGGCGTAAACTCGGGCTACACCAGCCCCTCTGGGCCCCCGCGGGTGTGCAGCGAGCTCCCGGGCCATCGCCTGCCAGGGGGCTCCCAGGGAGCACTGTTGGAGGGTCTTTGACCAAAAATGGGCCACAGCAGGACACGAAGGGAGGACCCCACCCACCTACCCCCCCACCCTCCCCCCCGGCAGCAGCTGTGGGTGGGCTCATTCAGGGCAGCTACTGTCACCCCTCCTGCTTGCTCCCCAAAGGACTCTGGTCCCCGAGGGACCGTGTGCTACAACAGCTGTGTTCAGGCAGCGCCCACTGTGTGCACCTGCAGCAGCAGAATCCGGGCAGCACCCACTGTATGCACCCTGCTGTAGCTGCGTCCAGGCAGCACCCACTGTGTGCAGCCTGCTGCAGCTGCATCCGGGCAGCGCCCACTGTGTGCACCTGCAGCAGCAGCGTCCGGGCAGTGCCCACTGTGTGCACCCTGCTGTAGCTGCGTCCAGGCAGCGCCCACTGTGTGCACCTGCAGCAGCAGCGTCTGGGCAGCACCCACTGTATGCACCCTGCCACAGCTGCGTCCGGGCAACGCCCACTGTGTGCACCTGCCGCAGCTGCATCTGGGTAGCACCCACTGTGTGCACCTGGCAGGGAGGCAGTGTCTGCCGGGCGAGGCTCAAGGGTGAACACTGACAAAGGGGCATCCAGAGACCACTTGGACCACCCAACGCCAGCTGGGCGGACGCAGTGACAGGTGAGCACGGCCTGCGTGGGGCACCATGGAGGCCGCTGCCTCGTGGCTCTCTGCTGCTGCTTGGTAGAGCTGGACACTAATGCTAACTCGGGGAGGGCACACCCCAGGAAAAATCTAGAGGCAGAACCAGGGCAAGTGTCAGGAGGGTGCCGGGGGAGGGGGACCCAGAGGAGACAGGACAGCACACAGCACTCAAATCAGCCCCCACTGCAGACACCACTGCAAACATGTCCCGCCAGGCGGCTCTACCTGAAGCCAGCTTCCCGGGCGGCCGCAGGGGCGGGGCAGCTGCAAGGGAAGAGGAGCGGTGTCACCCAGCAAACGCCAGCCTCAGCCCCCCTCCCCTGGCCCCTCGGTAGCCCAAAGGTGCTGGGGTCTCGGCTGGGCCGGGATGGGCACGTCGGAGCCCCATGTTTTTAGAAACCCCCATGTCTACAAGGACTGACCGGCGCCCGGCACGCTCCCGGCCTCTCAGGGCAAACACCGCACCCCACACCCCCCGGCTGCACTGTCCTGGAGGCACCCCGAGACGCCAGCCCGCCAGCTGGGAGAGGCGGGGAAGGCGACTGGCAAGGCCCCTCGCACGAGCTTGCTGGTACAACCGTCTGGCCAGACTCGTTTTCTCGGTTTCCCCTTCCATTTCAAGCGAACTCATCTACGGGCCATTCAGAAGCGGCCACTGCGTGGCTGGGAGCCCAGAGGGTTCTTCTGAACCGGTGCTCAGATTAGGCAGTGGAGGCCCTACGGGTGGCTACAGTATGGCCACTATTACCCACATCCCTGCTCCCCACGCAACTTCAGACCCTAAATCCCAGGTTCCCTGGGGCCACGTGGCCTGTGGCTGACGCTGGAGCCCATGGACTGGGTCTCATCCACCAGTGATCATCGCCCCCTTCCAGGTCCCCTCACCCCTTCCTTGTTCCAATAAGGTGGCTGAGGGACAGGCCATGGGATCTCCGCAAGAGGTGGGGGACTTGCAGGGCACAGACTTGCAAAATCCAAATGCTACCCGGGTTGGGTGAGTGAGCAGCCCAGCAGCACTGCAGGTCTCTGTTGTCTGCAGGTGAATCGGGGTCAAGGGTACGCGGCTGCTAGAGGGCCGCCGACGCTTACCGCTGGCCAGCCCCAGTCCTCAGTGCTTTGCGGGATTTGCCCTTTAATCCTGGGGCAGCCACCATCAGTGTCCCCATTTTACAGATGAGAAAACTGAGGCACAGAGAGGTTAAGCCCCTGCCCCCCCACCCCCTTAAGCGGTGCTTTGTTCCATTTGAACCAGGCCCTCCGGCTCTGGAGCCCGGAGCTTGGCTTTGACGGTCACCCAGCACGTGGCTCAAAGTGGACAGTGATTAAGCCGCAGGCAGAGAGGGGACAGAGGTGGAATTCCTAGCCTCTTTCTGCCCCTGTTGCCAGGAAGACCATCTGCCCGGAGGCTGCAAGGAAGCAGTTTTCCTCCCTGGCTGCGGGCGAGGCTGGACCGGGTCTAAGGTCCTGCTAACGACATAGCTGAAAACCTCCGCAGATGCAGAAAGCCCCCCTCTCACAAGGGAGGGAGCTGGACGTGACCACCAGCCCTTGAGCAGGACAGCCCTGGGCCCGTCAGCCAGCAACGATGTGTCACGGACACAGAAGGCATCACCAAACAGACACTGGAGGCCAGCCTCTCTGGGCAGCTTGGGAGCCAGCCACTCAGGACGACAGGGCCTCCGCAGAGACTCAGAAAACAGAACCGAGGGGGCGCCTGGGTGGCTTAGTCAGTTAAGCGTCCGACTTTCATTTAGGTCATGATCTCGCGGTTCGTGGGTTCGAGCCCCGCGTCGGGCTCTGTGCTGACTGCCAGCTCAGAGCCTGGAGCCTGTTTGAGTCTGTGACTCCCTCTCTCTGTGACCCTCCCCTGCTCACACGCTCTCTCTCTCTCTCCTAGAAATAAATAAAACATTTAAAAAAAAAAAAGAAGAAAAGAAAACAGAACCGAGTCCTCGGCACAGGCTCTGGTGGTGGCAGACTGTTCCGCTGTCCCCAGCCTGTATGGTTCAAGACTCAAAGGCCGGAGGGGAGCGGTGCATACAGGGACAGGCACAAGCCCACCACAGACCTTAAACACCCCGGGTCCCCGAGAGCAGGAAAAGGAGAGAAGGGCAGGCGCTGCCCGGGGGTTACTCCCCAGTACGTGGCACACGCTCCAGTGGGCATCACCACCACCCCTGCCTTACGGGTAAGGAACTCGAGGCATCAGGACATAAGGGACTGTGCCTAAAGCCACGCAGCAGGTGAGTGCTGGGGTCTCATCTGAACTCCCATTCCTCAGGGCCCAAACCCACTTCTTTATACCATCAGGCCAATGACACCATTGCTACCGGCGAGGGTATGACCTCCCCTGGGTTCACATGGTGACCCCACGGCCCCCAGAACCATGAGACAATTCACTTCTGTTGTTTACACCACCCAGTCTATGCTTCTCTGTTACAGCGGCCTCGGGACACTGATAGAGTCACTCGGGCCAGGACGCCCTCCTCCACCCAGGAGGCTGCCCACCTGCCCCGTGTGAGATCAGCCCAAATGCTAGTTGCTCTTTTGTGAAGCTGGCTTCTGGGCGAACACAGAGCCTTGCACTTAACAGCCCAGCAGGGGAGTTAACCGAGGGAACCGAGAGCCAAGGCCCCCGGCGTCAATGACAGCCACCCCCACCCCAGCCCGGCCAGGCATAGAATCCGCAGGAAAAATAATAGCGTGTACGGGGGCTCAAGATGAATCATCGCAGAGGAGGCAGCTGTGTTGATGGGATTTTAAAGCCAACACGAGAAAGAAAATACGAACTGCAATACGGTAATTTAGTCTGTGAACACTCTGGCACATTTTTAATTAAAGCTATTTTGGAGTTAAATAGAGGCCATGAGGGGAGGGGAGGGGATGGCGGGGGGCGTGGGAAGTGCAGGCCGCAGACGCTGTCTGCCCCACGGCCCAGACCCCACAGCCACGTCTCCTTAAGAGGTTTCAAAGAGGAACACTGCTTTCTCCTGCTTTTCGCTAAACAGGCAGGTGCCATACTTTCTTTCTGTGGCTTCTGTGCAATCTGATTTCAATGACAAGATGTAAGGGCAAGAATCCTAAAATCTGACAGGCCTGAGACCCAGGCCAGAATCCTGCCCACAGCAGGAAGGAATCTCTCTCAAGATTCCCAGATGTGGGCATTCGTCACATGACTGCTTCCAAGGATGACACGCTCCCTAGCTCGTGAAGCTACTCTCTCTTGGGGAAGCAAGAGCCGCCCTCCCCTCATGCCCCTGACTCTGGGTGGGTGGCCAGGGGCTCCCCAAGATGTATCTGCCCAGCCCAGCTGTGCCAGGCAGTGGAGATGCAGATGTGACCAGTCAGACCCAGCACCCAGTCCCTGAGCAGCGGACAGTCCAGCAGGGGTGGGGGCCGGGCTCCCCGAGGGAGGATCGCGACAGCCTAGCAGCAAGGGAGGGCAGCTCACAGGGCTGGGAGCTCAGACTAAGTGCCGAGTCCCCTGGGGGTGGCTGGGGAGGGAGGCTGTTGGGAGGAGGCTGTGCCTGAGCCGGAGACCAAGGATAAGTACACCCCTCACTTACGGAGGAACAAGGATAAGTAAACCCCTTCGTCCCTGAAATCTCCTAGAACGAGGCCAGTACTGTCACCATGGACCTCGCCCCACCTATGGGGCTCTCCCCACCTCCTCCAGCAGCCTCCATCCTGCTAGTTAGAACAAGGAGAAGGCCAGGCCTGTGCCTAGTCACCCCCGTGCCCCTAGGGACATGCACAGCAGGCCATCAATTATACACGGAGTGTGTGCGTGCCCACTTTACAGGTGAGCAGAGTGGTGCCCTCTAAGCTGCCCCAGGAATCTAAAAGCAAGCAAGGTTAAGTCGCCGCCAGGAAGCTGCCAGCAGTCCGGTGGGGGTGGGGGGAGGGAACCCCAGCCACGACCCTGGAGACATTCTGCCAGCGGCCCCTGAGTGTTTTTGCTGTCAGTGAGGCCCAATCGCTGTGCAGCCACAAGGGGTCAAGAACACACAGCGCACTGGCGGAGGGGCCGAGGCCCCAGCACCGCGTGGCCGACCCCTCCTGGGGACGCTGGATACTGAGGACCCAGCACCATCCCTCTACCAGCAATAAGCCGGGCAAAGCTTGTTCTTGTCCCTAAGTCCCAGTCTAACCGCCTGCAGCCAGCAGGCCCAGATCCCGGAGAGGGTCTGCAAGCCCCCTACTCGGGGACCTTTGCCTGGCCCAGGCGTGGGCATCAGTGGAGGACGGACAGAGCCCTGCTGCTGCTGCCTCTGGCCCAGGGCGCAGGTATGACCCCTGGGGGCAGGTCCGAGCAGGCTGGGGGGGAGGGGAGGAGGGGCGGGGCAGACAGGCAGAGCCACCCACTGCCAGGGCGGATGCCATCGCCCTGATGCCCAGACACCGGGCCCCTGACAACCCCCCCTCCGCACATGCGGGCACGGGGCCAGAGCACCCAGCCACGGGGGCCTCCCTTGTGACACCAGGGGCGCCCCCAGGGAGAAGATGAGAAGGACCACGTCTCCATGGCCTGAGCAGGTGCACATCTCCCCAAAGTCCACAGCCGGACCCACCACTGGGACCTGGGGTGTATTCTCCCAGTGGGCCAGTGTGGCCCGGGGTGGGGGACACTTCTGTGTTTGTGGCAAAGGGACCACAAGCAATGCCCGGCTGGACCGCAGAACCACACGGCAAACAGCATCCTGAATTCGGGGCCCGGGCTCTCAACGTGCTTCTCCAAGGGAACGAGGAAACAAAGAACAGTCAGGCTGGGACGGACTCACAAGGCCACGGGCCCGAGGCTTCGGGTCCAGATGGTGGTCCCGGCCTTCGTCCTGCTGTCCAGCGGCTGCAGCAAGCAGGACAGGCACCTGCTCCAAAGCGAAGGTCCCCGAGCCTTAATGCTGGCACCCCCTAACCCCGATCCTCCGGGCACCACTTCTGCCTACCCCTCCTGCAGCCCAGGCCACACCCCTCCTCGTCAACCCCGCCCCCGCAGGTGAGAGGCCCCGCCCCGCCCCACCCTCCGCAGGCCCCAGGAGGCAAAGGGTCCAGGGGTCTTCTGGCTGAGCCGTGTGCTACACAGGACCTTAACCGCATACAGGTGCCAAACCGGCTCTGCAATTCGGCGCCTGGCGACACACCGGAGAACGGGTGCGGTGGCCCTGGCGGTGTGGGCCAGTGAGTCCTGCTAGGCCGGGGAAACGGCCCACACAGCCCACACAGGGGCGAGGCGTGGATGGCCATGGTGGGAGCTGCCCTCCAAGCTGGGGCCATGAGCCTCCCCGCAGCCACCCAGCGGGCAGAGGGGGTGCCTCGGGCCTCCCAAGCAGGACAGTGGCGCCAAGCCTGCTGGTCGCCTAGCAACGGGACCAGGCAGCTGAGCCCTCCCTGGGGCTGGTTCCCAGAGAAACGCTCTGGGCTTTCTGGCCAAGACTTATGGGCCCCGGGCATGGCAGGGGGGTGGGGATGAGATGAAGCCAAGGATGGGGACAGGGAGCGAGAGGCTGGAGGGGCTGGCTAAGCCAGGTGGCCCCCAGGACCCCACACAGGGCCGACCACAGCCTCCCATCCCTGTCCCCAGCCACGGCAGAGAAGACCCTTGTCCTGGCAGTCACCACCCCGCTCTGTCACCCTGCCCGGCCTCCCCGTTGGGCTGCCTGCCCTCACCCCCAGCCTCTAACCTGCCATCCTGAGTCCCTGCCAGCCCGGGACAGCCTCATCTCCCCGGGGGCGGAGGGCAGACCCCGGCCCGGAGAGGAGCGAGGGGGGCAGGGGCGGGGACATTTCCACGCGGGAGAGGGTGGGGCTGTGCCGCCCCCTCTCCAGCCTCAATCTGCCCGTCTGAGGGGCAACGGTGCGTTCCACACCTTCTCTGGGACAGGCCCGGGGCTGACGCGAGGAGCTCCCAGACCCCTGGGGGCAGCAGTGAGAGGCTGTGATGAGAGACACCCCAAAGGCCGTGCAGCAAGGGTCAGGTGCCTGACCCCCAAGTTCCAGGGGGTGACTAGGGACGACAGTGGGGACAGGCAGGTGTCTATGAGCCCAGGTCGGCAGGGACACGGGGTGGGCACTGGAGCGGTGGGAGCGGGGGGGAGGGCTCAGAGCAGCCCCTCAGCACAGGGGGCCCCGCCCCCGCAGCCTCCCACCACCCCCCCCGCAGCCTACCTGCGCGAGGGCCTTGTCGCCCTCCAGCAGCCTCACCTTGGTCTCCAGCTGCCTGATGTAGGTGGACGAGGGATCTGTAACGACATAAGTAGGGGCACATGAATCACCAGACTCGGTCTCCCGTGAGAGTCACACCCTGACCCGAGGCCCTGACGCGACCCTCGCAGCCAGGGGGCAGCACAGAGCGCGGTATGGGGTCCCGGGAGCCCCCTCACCGACACAGTGGGGAAACTGAGGCCCCTGAGCATACCGAGTCAGCGTCCGGGATTCCGCTGCTCCACCCTGCCCGTCACACAGGACCTTCGGGCGGAGCGCGTACGGCGGGTGAGCCACCAGCTCTCTCGGGGGACGTGACCTACGAGAGCAGCGCGTGCACGGGGCCAAGCCAGGGGCACGCTCCGCAGCCATGCACCCCCAGTTTCGGAATGTGGCGGGGGGTGAAAAGCACCCTCCCTCACCACACTCATATTTTACAGTCACATCAGAGAAATGGGCAAAATTCCCCAGCCCTGACCCCCAGGGCCCTGGTCCTGCATCCCCATCAGGCTAGAAATCAGCTCCGCGGGCAGAGGACAGAAGCACGGAGTCACCCCAGCCTGGCCTGAGAGGGCGCCAAGGGCAACCCGAGCACAGGGCCCAGGGCACACAAGAGGGCGCCACCATCAGGGCACGTATGGCTGCGCAGGCAAAGTCAGGTCCCACGTCGCCCCCTGGGAGGCGTGCAGCTGCCGGGTAAGGGGCAGGCTCCGTGCTTCCTGTCCACACGGGCACCGCGCTGGAGCGCACGCGGCCCAGACACCAGCCTACACCCTGTCCACCGGGCCAGCTGCTGCTCCTCCTGCCCTCAACAGGACACCGGGCTCCCCAGATCACACCTCCAGCCCTTACCTCAGAAGTCACCAGGCCCTCAGCCGAGGCCACCTCTCTACACCGCTGCCTTAGGAGGGGGACCCCAGGGACTTGTAACACACCTGTGCTGTCCCTTCGGGCCATCGGGCCACCATGGGAAAATGAAGCATCTGCCCACCCCCAGCACACACTGGCACTACCCTGGGTGACAGGGATGTCACGCCCCCCAACCCCCACTGGTGATCAGCCCACGGTCCCCTCCCCAGAATCCTCCACTGGGGTGAGCTTGGCCCAGGCCTCAAAAGCCACAGCCCATCAGCAAGGCCACACTCTGAGGCTACCCCCAGCTACAGGAGGCAGTCTGCACCCAGAGGTGCCCCTCTGCCCAGGGACCTGCCTGCGAGCTCATAGGAAGGACCTTCAGGAGCTCTGCCCACCCAGCCCTGGCCCTGGCCCAGCCCATCAGCCCAGCCCGGGGCAGGAATTGGGGGTGGCCGGGCCCACCCACTAACTGCTGAGGAAGGACACCACAGGCCCCTCCCGCCCCAAGTCAGCACCACTCAGCTCTCAGGAATGCGGCGCCTTCTGGAGAGGGAGCAGGGCCACTCTGACCAGGCCTGTGGGAGGGCCGGGGCGGGGGGCTGCCCCCCACACCACCTCACCGCCCCCGCTCCTCACCCCCCCCCCACTCTGCAGGGCTCCTTGGCGGCCAGGAAATCAAGGCTCTAAGGTGAAGGGGTTTGCTCACAGCACATCTCAGGGCAGCAGCAGGGGTGGGACCGGAGCCTGGGGGGTGACCCCAAAAGCCTCCCCATCAGGACCCTGGGTGCCTGCCAGTGCCAAGCAGATCCCACCTGCCCCAGGCAGGGGACCCTGGCCAGCCCGGGTGACCATGGTAGTACAAAGGCCTCCCTCACACTCTTCTTCAGCCAGTGGTCACTATAACCCATCCATCCATCAGTTCATCCTCAATCAGCCAGAGTGGACACACACTTCCCCCATCACGCCCACGCAACCAGGCCTGCTGCGAAAGGCCTTGGGGTCCAGGGTGTGCCAGGCCCCTGTGGGCACAGGGAGGGAGATGGGTACAGCCCGAGCCCCCACCTCTTCATGCCCTCTGTATGCCGTCAGCAGGAGGGTTCCCTGGAACACGAGCTGGGAAGCAGAGGGCACACACTGCAAAGATCTTCCCAGCTCTCTTGTCTGGCTCTTTAAGACAAGGAGACCCAAATAACCAGCCACGCCTTGTGTGGCCTCCCTATGGGTGGGGTCAGTGGGGGAGGGAAGACCCACCCCAGGGGTGACACACGGCAGCCCCAGCATCAGGCGAGGGGCAAACAGGCACCCTCCCCACTTTCCAGATTTGAGAGAAACAGCGTCTCCCCCACCCCTGCTGTGGGCGGCTGAGCAGGGGAGCCCAGGGCCCAGCCTGCCAGGCCCTCTGCCCACCCCGCAGCCCAGGGCTCAGGACCCCACAAGCGTCTGCTGCTGTGACCAGAGCTGACAGCTCAGCGCCGTTAGGAGGAACTGGCATGCGTCCCAGAAAGAAGACGTGATTCTTGTTCAAGCCTCTCTCCTGGACCCTCCATGATTGCCCGATCCTGGGGCGCAGCAGCGAGCCAGGAACCCCTGGGGGCCGCGCCGCCAGACATAGCCCTGAACTCAGGAGAGGGCCAGTCCTCTGCCCTGCCCTGCCCTCCAGGGCCACGCAGCCATGGGGAAGCTGGCACACTTCCACCCAGTTTCCTGGTATAGGGGGACCGTTCTGTCTCCCTCTGCCAATTTCTGTGGGGTCCGCCAGGACCTCCAAGCATTTCCTTTCTTGTTTTTTTTTTAATTAAGTTTATTCATTTAGGATCCAAAAAATGTGGTTTATCTATACCATGGAATACTACATGGCAATGAGAAACAATGAAATCTGGCCACGTGTAGCAACATGGATGGACCTTGAGGGTGTTATGCTGAGCGAAATAAGTCAGGCAGAGAAGGACAAATACCGTATGTTTGCACGTATAGGAGGATTAGGAGGAACTTAACTGAGGAACAAGGGGGAGAAGAAGGGGGGAAATGGTGGGGGAAAGGGAGAGAGGCAAACCATGAGAGACTCTTGAATGCTGACAAAAACTGAGGACTGATGGAGGGGGGGGGGGGGGGGATGGGCATGGAGGAGGGCACTTGTGGGGACGAGCACTGGGTGTTATGTGGAAACTAATTTGACGATAAACTATTTGTAAAAAAAAAAAAAAAAAAAAGTTTATTCATTTATTTTGAGAGAGCGAGTGCGGATGAGAAAGAGGGAGACAGAGAATCCCTAGCAGGCTCCACATGGTCAGTGCAGAGCCCAGTGCAGGGCTCGAACTCACGAACCCTGAGATCATGACCTGAGCTGAAAGCAAGAGTCGGGCTTAAACGACTGAGCCACCCAGGCGCCCCCAGCACTGTCCCTTCTTGACCCCACAGTCGGAATCACGGACTGGGATGGAGTCAGCAGATGTGCCGCGGGCCTTAGGGCCCTCGCCGGGCAGCGGGTGGGCCGGACGCACAGCACTGTTCCTGCCTGAGCAAGCGATGCTCAGCCGCCGCCGGGTCCCCCCGCGCCTCCCAGGACGGCAACGAGGAGAAGACAGTGGGGACAGAGGTGGCGCCGGGAGAGGGGACGCAGGCAATGCCACCCCCACCGCTGCTGTCGGAAGCAAACCTCAGGGCCCATGGGCCACAGCGCACGGGCCACACGTGGGCACAGACCCGGCGCTGCCCCCCGCTCACTCCGCCGTTTCGGTTCACCCAAAACCCCACGCAGCCGCAGAGAACAGAGTAAACATCAGACCACCAGGGCCTGCTGGGCTCTTCCTTCTAGTTCCCAGAGAACAATAGGCGAGGTCTGAAGATATTTTAAATCATCTGGTGCTTCTGATGGAATCTATCCCAAAGAGTTCATTCTAATTATGAGGAATGCAGACAGTGTGCGACAGCGGCCAGAAATGGAGGCCACCGTTTGTCCAACGGTAGCGGAGAGCTACACCCTGTCCTTCAAACGAGGTTGAAGAAGGATTTCTCTCCTCGACGATATGGAAAACGCCTTATGCCCCAGGGGAAAGAACTGGACGCAAAATGGTACGCCCAGTTGCTCTTACATGTAAAAATATCTGTGCATTGAAATAAATTCAGGAAGGAGGTCCGTGGAGATATCGATGGTGGTGCCACTGCTTACGTGCGGGGACGAGTGACTATTTATTCGCACCATTTCTTGCTAATTTTCAAGTAATCTACTTCCAAAACATGGAGAAATCTTTCTTTTACTAAAGAAAGAGAAAGGATTAAATGATTGCACTAGCGCCCTGCAGGGCCAGCCACGGATATCACAGAAGCAGACGGGCAGCCAGGACAACGGCCAATCAGACCCCCTCTGCCCACGTCTCCCAGCTCTGGTCTGGGGGCCTGAGTCTGCCCCTTCCCCTGGAGTTTAAGAGGATTGGAGGCTGCCCCAGCCACGCCGGACCCCATCCCCACGCTCAGCTCCCCAGACGAGGCTCTGCTCCCTGACAGGTGCCCAGGAGCCAGACATCTGGTGGCCCAGGGGTCAGAGCCGGTGTCCTGCAGCAGGCAGCAAGGGGCACCTGCTGGAGCGGGGGCAGGAGACCCCGCAGGGGCGGGCTCCCTAGGAGAATCATCTCTCCCGGCAGCCCTGGGCAACTCGTGATCCCACTGGGCGCCTCAGAGCCCCAGCCTCTCGGAGCTGAGCGTGTAATTAAATTAATCCCAGGGTTTGCAGTGGTGAGGAACGGAGCCCCAGGGGAGGGATGCGTCATTTCCTGGCCTGGCTGCTGGTGGGGAAAATGAGGGAGGGGACTACGGAAGGGACCCCAGGGCTCGGCTGGCCAATGTGTCCCCTCAAACGTTCCCCAGGCTCTTCCCAGGCCCCACTGGACCAATTCGGGAAGAATTACAGTCCAGCCTCTGTCTGGGGGCAGGGGGTGGTGGCCGGAGTAGGGGCCTGCAATGTCCTTGCTTCTGAGACACAGAGTCAGCCCTAACCCTAGCCTCCTTGCAGACCCTACGACTCCCGGGAGAATACGGAGGGCCATGCAGCCCACGGATGGGGGCGGGGGCCTCATGGAGCCCATAGGGTCTGCAAGCTCCCCTCACGGGTACAGACCGCCAGTCCACCCGCCTTCTCTGAGGCTGGGTCTGGTGCCAGGTCACATCTCCCCTCCGGGCCAGAACC